TCAGAGTTCACACCGGAGAGAAACCTTATCCCTGTAAGGAGTGTGGGAAGACATTTTCTCGATCAAGTAAGCTCTCTGTACATCTTAGGATTCACTCAGGAGAGAGACCTTATAAGTGTAAGGAATGTGGGAAAACCTTCACCCGATTATGTCACCTCAGTGAACATAGAAAAATTCACACAGGACAGAGACCTTATGAATGTCAGGAATGTGATAAAACATTCCGTAGATCAGGTCACCTCACTCAACATCTTCGAGTTCACACAGGAGAGAAACCTTATCCCTGTAAGGAATGTGGGAAGGCATTTTCACAGCCAGGTCAGATCACTGAACATCTGAGAACTCACACAGGAGAGAGACCTTATGAATGTCAGGACTGTGGGAAAGCATTTGCTCATTTAAATACCCTCATTAAACATACAAGACGTCACACAGGGGAGAAACCTTATGGGTGTAAGGAATGTGGGAAAACATTTTATCAATCAAGTCAGCTCACTGCACATCTCAGAACTCACACAGGAGAGAGACCTTATGAATGTCAGGATTGTGGGAAAGCATATGCCTATTTAAATTCCCTCATTGAGCACAGAAGATTTCACACAGGAGACAAACCTTATGAATGTAAGGAATGTGGCAAAACGTTTTCTCACCGTTCTTCTCTAAGTCACCACGCAGGAATTCACAGAAGAAATAAACCTTATTAATTGAAGGAGTGTGGGAATACTTTTTCACAGTCAAGTCAGCTCAGTACACATAAAAGAATCCACATGGTGTTGCCTGGTAAATGGAATAACAATATGCGGTAAATTTGCTTAAAGATTGTCACAGGTGAATTGCTGTCACTCCTCAGTCATGACTACTTGTGAGTGATTTGAGAATCAGTGTGATTTGCAAGCTGTCTGTGAAATCTCAGAGGGGTAAAAATGAAGGAAGGAGAAGAAAAATATTTCAACCCAAAATAATGAAACCCAAGAACTGACATGGAGGAGGAGTTGCGTCTTTCATCAGTGTTGGGCGATCTTGAAGATAAGGCTGTTCATCCTCTTAGCAGAAGGAAGACCTAGCTGCAGCGAAGCCTCCTTAAAACTCTGTATATCCCTATGTTGTCCATGAAGTCGTTCCTCAAGTGAATGACCACAATTGACAGGACTGAACTGATCGCTGCCGATGGCGTCTGTAGATACGGAAAGAGTTAGTTTGCATCTACACTCAAAGAAGACCACAGAAGGGAGACAGGCCCATGGTTTGAAAACTCTATTCTTGCTGCTTTGGACAAAGTTGTTTCCTGCCTAGTCTGTTTTAACAAATATTTGTTTGCTAGTGTTTCCAAAGTTGAGCTTTCTGGGAAGGAGATCCGTCAGCCTGTTTCCTGAGACTCTTCTCAGTATTTACAGATGAAAGGCAAACCCATGATCCTCAAGGATTTCTAGCGTAACGAGTCTAATGGGACAATCCAGTTTTCATGTACATTTCTAAGGCTGCCATTAAAAGTGGATTGTTTCATCTTTATAAAATATACCAGTTCTTGAATTTGAGACGTGTGATGTTTCTTCTGTCATTCCAAGTCACTGTCCAGCTCCCACTCACAAGCAAAGTGAGTGATCAGAAAGACCATTCCTTGAGCCTATTCTGTGTGGTCCAGCACTTGTCTGTCAGTTTGATGGAGGCTGTGATAGTGGAAGGTATGCTTCTGGTGTATCAAATGCCCTAAGAGTTACCCCTGTTGGAGACAGCTTTCAGGTGAATGCAGACTAAGAAGCAGGATCGGCTATCTACTTTTTATGTTATCATTTAAAAAAAAAAAAAACCAACCAAAAAAACAGAACCAAAACCTGTAAAAAACACGGATGAGGATACAAGGAGGTACATGTTTGGGGGAGAAGCGTGAGTATGGGCAGGAATGAAATCAAGGCACTTGTGTGATTTGATGGGTGGAGGAAGTGGGCAGAGGAAGGAGAAAAATCGGTAGCAATGTGCCATCCCCAGGGGACTCACCTTGGAAAACCCTTTGCGGTGCAAAAGGCACTAAAGGTCAGGTTACTATCCTGTAACTGAACAAGAAGTCTTGCAGCTTCCACCCAGGTTGAACCTCACTTCTCAATCCTTCCAGCCCCATTGTCTTGTTTTCATTTTGGCTGGATGGAACACTTTGCAAATCCTTTAACCCATTGTCTTGTTTTCATTTTGGCTGGATGGAACACTTTGCAAATCCTTTAAAGACAGGCCATCATTTTACTCCTAAAACATTTCTGTCAAGTGTGGTTGTTGATAAATTCCATCAAGTCTGAATGACTCAGTGATCCTATGAACTGAAGATCCAAACAGGGTTCTAGAATGAACGTCATTTCTCTTAAAGTTCATAGAATTTCCAAAACTGTCTTGTTGAAGAAGTGGATGTCACTCTTGCTTCCAAACGTGCCTTAATCTGGGAGCTCTACCAAACCTGTCCACCGTGAGGAACCATGATGGCATTTGACCCACCAGTGGCAGCACATTGAGTATAGCAAACTGACAGAACAGTGGTGTGCCATGTAAAACAATGTTCCAACCACACCCTTAACACCAGGTACCAGCGTTTAGGCCACAGCCAAGAGGGCCCAACAGAAAAGACAGGCGCACCAACGTCTTGATTGACTTACACATCATGCTTCCAACCCACAAATTATAATTAGCAATATCCAGGCAACCAATCACCTTTGACCTGATAGTGAATGAAATAACCAGTTTACACCTGACCTTCAACCTAACGATGAGAACGTACCGTCCAGAATCCAACTACTTCAAATATCATCCACCAGACTGGAGCGTTCGTCACGGCCCAAATGACTTTTACATACAAAGGCCAGCCCACCAGGTTCTGATTCACTTAAACAAGAGGCTTCCTGTCCACAAGCTGAGTGTTAGCGAAAGCAGTAAACTGCCAATCCGTTGACTCTTGGTGGTTAACATCAAAATAAGACATTTCTAAACTGTTTACTACACCCCAAGCTTTCAAGTAAATAAAAACAACTTCCAGAATCCACATGATCCAAGCTGGGGACTCCTGGAAGTCCTTGGCTAATTGTTGGCTATTTCCTGGAGAGGGACATGCTGCTGGCAAGAGTGGAGTGTCTGAGAGGGAGAGGAAGATCCTCACTTAGGTGGATTGACCCAGTGACTGGTGCAATGGGCTCTTATGTGTAACAAAGTGTCAGGATGGAGCAGGATAGAACAGGGTTCAGATATTTTTATAGCATTGCTATGATTCATTCTCAAGGGTACCCAATAACAAAAACAAGAACAATGTAAATAGGTAAACATCAGGTGTTTGTTCCCCAAGTATATTTGATTTTTGATCTGTTTCTTTCCTTGGACCTACTGAAAAAAAAGTTTGCTCCTGGTATTGCCTGGAAATGCTGATTTCCTGTCAGACACACAAACTTCCATTCTCAAGCAGCTGGAACAGACCATGTGTGTCACGGCACATTGACATGTTAAAATGATGCATTTTCTGTGAAGAATTGTATTGCTCTTAGGTCAGTGTGTCTACGTCCCCTGGAGTCTGTTGGAAATGAAACTGTTCTGGCCCCAGGACATCAGGCACTGAGGTCATTAAATGAGTCTGAATATCCAGTCCTGCCCTTACTCTGTTTGTCTGTTTGCATACTTTTCTGCACCCTACTCCATCCTCCCTCATGCCTGCCTTTTCCCTCAATCTCTCTAGGCTTGCTGAGTTTCTCCTCTGCCCTCTGTCCTTGCTCAGCTCTGAGCAATTAACATTTCAGAAGGACAGAGAAATCTGCTAATACTTTAGAGTCGGTCAGTCTTTTTTATCCATTAAGCAGTTCTGTAAGGTAAAAAGCAATTGAGTGTTAATTGTCTGTTACTATCAATATTTTACATATGGGCGATTATTTAGTAAGTTCTATGGTCAGGAGTGAAGTTTGAGTGTTTTCATCTTTTTGTCAAAGTTGGGTGTGGACTTGTCAGGTGTTTTGGGGGCTTTTTTTTTTTTTTGGTTCACAGTTGTGTGTGACCTGATCTGATGAGATGCATTTAAAAGGCCTTTATCTTGAACAGCTGATGGTGGCCTGATAGCAGTTTGGAGAGTTATGTGTACAGCGGTTGAATTCCAAAAGGTGAGTTGTCTTCATTTTGTTAAGGGTTGGCTGTGACTGTTTGGCTGGTTTTTAAATTTATTCCCAGTTATGTGTAGGCTGATTGGATTTCGGGGTTTAGCTAACAATGAACTGTGTACATGAAGCCTCTTGATTAGAGTCAGTCAGGACCTGGTGTACTTCAAAGGTCTTTGTATTTAAAAGTTAATTGCAGTGGAGCTCTGGTGGCCTAGTGGCAAGAAGCTATGCCACCCTCCGAAAGGCATATGGTTTGAATCCAGCAGATGCTGTGCTGGAGAAGGAGGTGCAATCTCCTCCTGTACCGTTAAGATCCAATTTGACGGTACAATAAATATAATTAATAATAATACCAATTCATAAAAATAAAAATAAAAATGTATTGTGGTCTCACTAAATCTCCAGTTCTTACACTCATGTGTGAAGCAACTGGATTGTGGAAGGTGGGTTTACATGTTAAGGTTGAGGGGTTGGGGTGGACTGTTTAATTGCTTTTTTATTAAATACACAACCATGTTTCAGCTGATTGTATTTGCTGGATTTAGGTAACAGTGACCTGTGGGCTGGAATCCTCTTGGTGAAAGTCAATCAGGACCTGTGGCGGGCATTTATATTTAAAACTTGGTTTGTGCCTGGCTTATTTCCAGTTTGGAAGTTTCTGTGTGAATAACTGGAATACGATCGTCAAGGATACATGCACAGACACTTGGCTTTTAGCAATTCCATGTAGAGAAATACTCTTTTGTGTAAGATTCTGTGTCTGATAGTACATTTTGGTTTTTCCACATTAAATGGATTCTGTTCAGTAACTGTTTTAAAAAGTGTATTCATTAGCTTCTGAGGACAGAAACTAGGGAAATGTCTTTGGGGTAGTGGGATCACACACATTTAGGGCCACTGTCTTGTCCACACATCTGTGAGCCTTATGATAAAATAAAATAAAAATTAATTCATTAGGGGAAAGAGAAAAAAAGGAGGCTGGACAATATTAAGCAGGATGGAGAAATCACAGAAACACTCGTCAAGGTCATCTTTAGGTTCTGATCAAGAGATTCTGTAATTAAACTCAAAGAATTTGGATGGGGATAACACCTGGAGATGCCAAGATTGTGGTCACCAAAGGTGAGTGACCCTAGGCGTCTGCATCATGGAAGAGTGTGGACAGGAAAAGGGCCAGGTATTTAGGGAGTTAGGGAGGCTCCTAGGGCTATTCCAGGAACCTCCTCTTGTACCTTTTCTCCTTACTGGGGAACTGCATGTCTGCAGAACCTAGTAGGTTGCCTAACAGCTTCTATCCAGTGGCATGAACATATGGTAAAGCACTTTTCTCTAGAACGTACCATTTCCTTCTTCCACCTGCTGAAGTTCTAAGGGAAGGTCTTCAATAACACTAAAAGATTGCAACATAAGAGTGTTCCCAGTGTGAGAACACCACAGGGCAATGTGGAGACAGATGAATAGTGGTTGGTCCACACTCTCTTCAAAGTGGCTGAAATCTTTCCTTGGGATTCATAGAAATTGAGGGTGGTCCCTCTTAGTCCACAGGTGCCAGAAATGGACACAGTTGAACCTCAGTAGAGACCTAAAAC